CGGGCGATGGCGGAGGAGCTGCAGATCATGACCTGTGGTCGAGCTACGGCTTCTTCCCTGACAGCAGCACTCCGCCAAGCAGTGCACCGCAGTGTTTCCAGGATTTGATGGCTGTCGACGAAGCTAGCTTCGACGCGATCGCCAACGCGATGACCGAGATGTCCGCGCTCCTCCCGCCGAAGGAAAACACGACCGTAAGGACCGGAGACGAACTGTCCACGGAAGAAGTCGTGAGAATAGCCGCTGCTCACTTCGTACAGCTGTCTTCCCCTGAAGAACGGCTTCCCTTTGGAACATCGCTGTCGGGCCTGACGACGGAGGAGGTCAAGAACGTCGAGCTGTCCACCCTTCTTCTCGCGGCAGCCGGGAATCCAGTCCAGAGGTAGCCTGACTACTTCTCCGGACGCACTGGAGTAGAAAATGGAAGCCGAGAAACCGGAAGGGCGTCGCTGAAGCCGCCGGAGCAGAAGGAGGACATGACGCCTGAGAAAGTCATCAGGTTTATGCGAGCAAGCCACCCTCTGCAGCTGATCTGCCACAAGACCCTGCCGTGCGCACAGGTCATGCAGTTCACTTCGATGCAGGCCATCATAGAGGCCGTGGCCAACGCGAAGAGGATCCACATAATCGATCTCTCAATCAAGCACGGGCTCGAATGGACCATCCTAATGCAGGCTCTCGCGACTGTGCCCCGTCGAGTCGTTAAAGCTCAGCGCGGTGGGGCCAGCGGAGGAAGCGGTCGTCCCGACGGGAAAGAGGCTGTCTAGCTTCGCGGAGAATCTAGGCGTACCCTTCGAGTTCAGAGCCGTGGTCGTGCCAGACCTGAAGGATCTGAAGGAAACCATGTTCGAGTTGAGCGAAGGGGAGGCCGTCGGGATCCACTCTCAGATGGATATGAACGCGATGATAGCGAGGCCGGAGAGCTTGGAGAACGTGATGAGGGTCATCGGGAGGATCAGGCCCCGCGTAATGACGGTGGTCGACGTGGAAGCCAAGCATAACTCGCCGTCGTTCATCGGCCGCTTCACCGAAGCCCTGTTCTACTTCAGCGCTTGGTTCGACTGCTTCGACAGCGTGATGGCGAGGGGCGACGAGAACAGGATGGAGCTGGAGGGGAGCTTCTTTTCGCAGGGGATTAGGAGCATAATCGCGGCGGAGGGGGAGGAGAGGGTGGTGAGGCAAGTAGGGGTGAGCGTGTGGAGGGAGTTCTTCAAGAGGTTTGGGCTTGTGGAGGTCCAAGTGAGCGAGTATTCTCTGTACCAGGCTAAGCTCGTGCTCGACCGGTTCGAGTGCGGGGGGTCCTGCACGCTGGTGAAGGACGGGAAATCTTTGCTCGTTGGGTGGAAGGGAACCCCCCTGCACTTTGTTTCCGCCTGGAGATTTCAGAGGGGGAGGGGGGCATGAGCCTCTGGATCGAAATGGTGGACATCGAGAGGACAGAGATATATGAAGCGGATACTGATCGAATTCCGCCTACTGTTGCTGCCGGCTCTAGCATCGGATCTCTGGCACGGCCGGCTGATGCCAAACATTCCCCTCGGTCGATAGAAGGTCGATAGAAGGACAAAGCTCTTATTTTTGGTGTAAAATTTGGTGTAATGGGTTGGAGATGGAATATTGATTTGGTGTAAAAACTATACAAACTTGATGTAAAAATTACATCATTTTGGGTTTTTGGGTTGGAGATGATGTTAGGATACTTAGAAACACGCCTTGGTAGGATATACACAAGTCCCTCGGTGAACGCTTACAAATAACAATGCAATCAATAATTACATCTCTCTCTCTCTTTGTATTTTTTTTTTTTTGGTTCCTTTATTAGCACCTAAATAAGAAAAAAATTTCAAGGGCCCAATATATGGGACCAACATGGGGACATGTGAGGTGTCCTTTTTCTATTGTATAATGAGTTAATGATGATCAACTCGTTTCGTAATAGGAGGGGAACACCTCACATATCCCCCCGTTGGTCCTATATTTTGGGTCCATGTAGCAAAACTCACTAAATAAGCCCAAGTTCAGCCTTTTCGTGTCCACGTTGAACTCCTAGAAGAACCCGAACAATTTCATCTTTAATCCCCAAAAAAAGTCATCTTATTAATGAATTAAATATACAGAAAACAACTTAAATTTTGTAGGATTCTCATTCTTACACTTGGAAAAGATTTTACTTGAGGAAGTCATAAATTATTACATAAAAAGCTATAAAAATTGTGCGTACATTTAATTATAGGTGATTGTCGCTCGCATTCTTGGGCCGCAGCAAGGCGTTGGCGCAATGACAAAAATTAAAACGCCCATGGGAGAATTTGGCATGTCACAAGTACAAAAACTACTTTAAAGTACAGGCCCGCTAGATATAGCCCATATGATCAAATATTTCCATGACATTTATTTTTCATTGAATATCAGAGGATTCTTATTTTTGCAATGTTCTGAATATATATATTTGTACTTTCTTTGGAACAATACTAATATTTGTAGTTTCGAATACATCGTTTTATTACGGCACATCAAATCCTAAATCATACATAAGTGGTGGCTTACAACATTTATTAATCTGAAAAATAAGAAATAGAAAATTAATAATAATATTAAAGAAGAGGAAGAGGAAGGGTGAAGATGATGAAATATTAATTATGTTACAAAGTTCTACTAAAATAAAACATGCTCCAAGACAAGCCATGTTCACATGCACCATATAATTTCACCAAATAAACTTATATAAAATAAAAAATAAATGGGGGGGGGGGGGGGGG